CCCTCCAGACAACAGAGATCAGTTCCCCTGGAGAAAACAGCCACTTTGGAAGGTGGACTTTATGGCATTATTCCCCACTGAAGTCTCTCCCGTCCCCCTCCCCAAACCCCGTCAGGCTCCGCCCCCCCAAAAAAAAATCTTCAGGAATTTTCCAACCTGGAGCTGGCAACCTTATGCAGGATCGTTCCTTTCTCCCCATTTCTTGAATTCCCTAGAGGTGCATAGAAAAGACTGTGGTCTCCTGGGAAGTTGGGGATGAATTCGCTTAGTGGGTAAACGTCTCACATTAGTAGGCCAGCTCACACGTTTCTAGCTCTGCCCGGCACCCCGGCTCCTCTGCTCATTCCTTTGTAGGTGCATTTCATTGGTTCGCATGTTCGTTCTGCTGGCTTCTGGTGGGGATTGTGTGTCACGCGCATGAAGCTGCCTTCTGCTGTGTCAGAGACCATTGGGTCTATCAAGCTCAGTGTCGTCTCCGCCGATGGGCAGCAGCTCTCTAGGGTCTTAGGCAGAGAGCAGTCTTTCCCATCACCTACTACCTGAGTCATTTAACTGGAGATGCTGGGGGTTGAACCTGAGACCTTCGACATGCAAAGGAGATGTTTCACCATTAGTCCATTGCAGGCCCGTAGCCAGGATTTTGTGGCTTGTGGGACAGATTTTTTTTTTTCTGCTGGGGCTGAAGTCCTCAGGGCAGAAAGAAAAGCCATTTAGCCCATAGAAAGCTGCTACCAGGAGAGATCGATCAATTGCAAGCTGTCGACCACTTTAGATGGCCAGTCTCAGCTGCTGCAAGTTAATCACTTCTGCCAGCAACCCTAAGCAACAGTTCTGAGAACAAGCCGGCAGGTGCGGGTGATGGCTTCTACAGTCAAGAAAGCTCACACTTAGGCAGAAGAACTCTCTTGAAGGAGATCAGTTTCTTGACACTGAGTTAGAAGGGATCCTAGAGGTCACCTACTCTAACCGCCTTGCTCAGTGCGGGAATTCATCAAGTACAGCACCCCACTCTGCTTTAAGGAGCACACACGTTTTAAAAAGGTTTTTTTTAATGATTGAAAAAAAGGTTTACAGGAGAAATTCTTGTGGGGCTGTGCCTTTAAAAGGGGGGCAGAGCCCCCAGAAGCCCCATTGTAGCTACAGGCCTGGTCCATTGCACCTCCCCAAAGTTGATGCTTTCAACTGAAGCATTTGCTTAGGGACAGCAAGAGAGAAGAAGAAGAAGAGATTGGATTTATACCCCGCCCTTCACTTGGAGTCTTAGAGTGGCTTACAATCTCCTTCCCCTTCCCCTCCCCACAACAGACACCCTGTGAGGTGGGTGGGGCTGAGAGAGCTCTGACACAAATGGCTCTTTTTCAAGGACAGCTGTGCCAGAGCTTGTGACTGACCCAAGGTCACATCGCCAGGTGCAAGTGGAGGAGTGGGGAATCAAACCCGGTTCTCCCAGATTAGAGTCCGCGCACTTAACCACTACACCAAACTGGCTGTGGTTGGTATTCCTTGGTTACTGGCACCTGGCAGGAAACTGGGAAGGCGGGGACATGGGAGAGTCCTGTTGCTCAACAACATGACATTATATCCCGGGTTTATCCAGAAGTGCCTCCATGCTGCTCTAGGATTCAGTGGAAACTCTATGGTTTGGTGACAGAGTTTCTTCTGGAACCTAGAGCACCATGTCATCATCACTTCCGGGTTCACCCCAGAAATGACATTATGACGTCAAGTAATGGTGATTCCCCCTCCCCAACATCTTTTCCTCCTCTGACCTACTAAGCAGCAGTTGGGTTCAGGGGGTTGTCAGGTGGTGGTCTTCCTCTATAGCAGGAGACCTGGGAGCCCTGTGCCCGATCCGACATTGGCCAAATGTAATGTCGGCTTTGGTTCACAGCGAAGAGGGCCTATGGATTAGGCAGGCATGCCAAAAGCACCAGTCCCTTTGCTTCAAAGGGAAAACGGTGTGGGTGGAACATCTGTGCTGTGTAGTTACCATTTTATAGGAATCACTCCTCAAATCAATGGCTTTTCTTTACAGTTTAACCTTGCGTGTATTCAGGAGTGGGCCTTCAGAGTTGGTTGTGTCTCTTTCC